TGGCTGTCTCGGGGGGGGGGGGGGGAAGCTCCAATGCCCTAACAAAGGCATGTGGTCCCCCTAAAATCCCATATCGGACCCTTGATCCGAGCAACCGGGCAGGAAAGGGGAGGGACAAACATGTGCCCCCATCCTGCACCATAGCAGGCCACATGCCCTCTGGAATAGCACCTTCTCCCCATGTCGACAAGAGCCTTTTCCAAACAACCCTGCCCCTGTTGTGGGGGTTTGTGGGCAGGGGGGCTTATCCCCCCCTCGTGAATGGGTAAGGGATAGTTACTGACCAGTTCTTTATTTTAACGGTTAACATAATCACAGCCCCCCTCCTGCACTATACCACCGTATGTCGATAAGACAAGGGCCACTTTTCCAAAACCCTGTCCTAGTGGTTATGGGGTTCTGCGGTCAGGGGGGACTTATCTCAATCTGGTTGAAGGGGCAACCCAGATTCCACCCCCTCAGTGAATAAGGGGTAGTTGTTACCCCTACTCATTCATATATAACTCATTGTAAATAAACGCGACACCGTATGTGTTTTTCTTTTCTCCCCCCCCCCCCCAATAAAAAGTCACAAAAGGTTTTTGATAAATCCTCTAACCCCTTAAGGGCCCTTTTGCTGTCGAGGCCTTTCATTTTTTGCACCCCTGTTCTAATCCACATTTCAGACCTGAAAATTACTTCAAAACCCCAAACACTAATATTTTGTTGCATGATATTAGTGCAATAAAATACCCTGTTTATATTTTATTTTTAAAAAAAGGTTACGACAGTAAATGGGTACACAACATCCCCAGGTTAAAAATTGTGTAACGGCGACAAAGTTCAGTACCCCAGAAAGTCCAAGTCCATAGATGATGCTCTAAGAGCCCCTAAAGGTCTTCAGTTTAAGATGCATGTAAATATTGCCCCTAAAATTATTGCTCACACTGGTGTGCGTAGAGATACTCAGCATGTGTAGTGTTATCATAGGTTTTTGTACATAGGAGCACCCAACTTGTGTTATGTGAATAATCAATTGGGGGACTTTAAACATAATTTTGTGGGGTTTTTTACATTTATTTCCAGATTTTAAACCTGGGTTTTATTTATTTTTTACTTTGCCATCAGATAGGGGACTAACAAGCCCCCCATGTGATAGCATATTGGTGGTGAGGAAGGTCCTCTTTAAGGTGATACTGGGGGTCCAAAAGACCCCTAGTGTCGTCTTTCTACTTTAAATAAGCTATTGAAGTGCAGATCACCCTTCAATAGCTTATTGCTGGGCTTCAGGGCCGAGCAATGACGGCTCAGGGACCGGAAGTGATGTAATATTAGTCTCCCGTTCCCATAGAGCGGGGAGGAGATTGGTGAATGGATGTTTTCCGCCACCACCTGAGATGCCAGTCCTGGGCCCGCAGGAGGGGCAGCAGAGCCCAGGAAACACGGCGGGGGGAGGGGGGGGGACTTTACCAACCCATAGAAGCGATCTGATGCCAGCTGAGCCACCAGAACCTCTTCTATTGCAAAGCCGACAGCCAGCTTTACAATTGTAAACCGTCCCAGCAGCTAGTCTGTTTAAACGGGCCCGCTGCCAATGACTTACTATGTATGTCACTGGTCGCAAAGGGGTTAAAGTGTCCATCAATTTAATCCACATCAATTACGATGTCCAGTGATTTTATAGATCCATGTCAATCGCAATGAACGTCTGCCGGCTTGCTGTAAGAAGAAAAAAAAGATGCCCACTGACCCAGAAGGGCTGAGCGGATCATATCACAAACTTGTTCTGCCATTTTCTTGGCATTCAGGAGCAGTATTGTCCATAATGCTGCTCCCGGACCTGAATAGATCCTGAATGCTTTTTGGGAACAGTTATGACAGTTTTGCTCCTGAATGTTAACAAATGGTTGAAACGAGTCCTGTAACATCACGACTCGCTCCACCCCTTCGACATTTGGGTCAGAGCTGTAATTTTTGTGGTGGTGGTCGTTTGGATCGACCGGCAGGTGTCGTATTTTTGCTGTCAGTGGCCGCCCATCGTGATTGACGACTATCTAAATCGATGGACAGTGTAACTGACCTGTGAATTACATCGATTTGGAATTTTTTAATTTTCACATTGTTTACGGTGTGGTTTATTAAAAATGAAAATTTGGTGCATGACTAGGGGTAGCTACCCCTTCATTATGAAAGGGGGCACCCCGATGCAGATAAGCCCCCCTGCCCACAGACCCCCAACAACCACAGGCCAGACTAAAAAAATAAAGGGTATGGTAAGGGATTTTAGGGGGGAAACCCAACCCTTTTTTGTCAAGCAAAAATTCCAACCAGACCTTAAGGGTCTGGTATAATTTTTTTATTTGAATGTTTAATATTCATAATTACTTGCAGGGGACAAAAAAAGTGGATGCATCTGAAATTTTAATTGACAATCAGTGTCGGCTACAAAACCATTTTTTTTGCCAGCGCACATGTCTCCCAGTGAGTTTTAGGAGAGATGTTTCAGTGGGGTGTTGGGGGTGAAATCCAGACTGTAAGGGATTTAGGTTGGTCGAGGTGGTTAGCGGTGAGGTGGTGGCTCAGGTGGTTGTAGACTAGGCCTTCTAGGAGTTTGGAGGTGAATGGGAGTAAGGAGATTGGTCTGAGATTAAGGTTGGTGGGGGTTTTTTCAGTATGGGGGTGACTGTACATGTTTTAGCAAGGCTAGGAAGATGTCAGTAGAGGAGGAGAAAGATTGAAAATGTGAGGTGTAGGATAGAGCAAAAGGTGACCAGAGTAGTGGTGAGGGTGGGCAGCACAAAAAAGCTTTGCAACCTCCTCTGTAGTGACAGGGTTGAAGGAGTACGATCCCTGGACACAGTAGGGATCTCCACTGAGTAACCTGGTGATGAGACCAATCAGACTGACGAGGATAACCTCTTTGGGGGTTACTGGAACTGCTGGGGAGGAAAACTGCACTAGGTATGTTGTGTTGTCCATATGCATGAAACCCCAAAATACTGCCACTGTGCACTGTAATGCATGGTACCACTATACCATGCATTGTGGTGGAAAACGTAGTGCATTAACTACCTTCTTTTAAGGAAGGTGGGGAGCAATGTCTGGAGTCTTTTAAATACAGCATGACAAACACCACCTACAGAGGAAGATGATTTACCACCCCCCTTCCCAGGTGACGTGCAATCTTGTGTCTAAATCCAATGGGGATCCCACACTCTGGCCAGCATCCCACCTGGCAACCAGTTATGTCACACCTTTTAACATTTGTCTCATCCCTTTCATAAATTCAAGAGAAAGTGACTGTCTTTATCTCACTCCTGCAGGATCTGCTACCACAGATCCTGAAGTACAAACCATTGTAAAATAAATCAATATTTCTCTCACTTACTCTCAAAGTACATATGGCCACACTGGACCTCAAGGATGCTTATTTACACATCTCCATCAGAATGTCTCACAGAAGCTCCTAAGATTTTCTATTTGAAGACTATGGGAATTCTGCACATGCAGTTCAACACCCTGCCATTTGGCCTCAAGAATCTGCACAAAAGTGCTGGCAAAGGCACTCACCAACGTAAGACACTTAAATTGGTGAGGGAATGGTGTAATTTGTGTATCTGGACAAACTTCCATTTGCAGAATCAGAAGTAACTCTTTGGGAGAATTGAGATTGGCAATAGAACACTTCAAATCTGGCTTGGTTCAATAATCCAGAGATCTCACATGACTGCTTCAGAGTAATTTTTCTGGGGTATGTACTGGATCTTGTCCCAATGCATATGTTCCTCACCAAAGAGACCAAAAATTGAGATGCCAAACTAGCTTTCTACAACCTTATTCAAGACCCTTACAGATTTTTTTGCTGTTTGTTCTGGGAACGGAAACAGTATGGTAAGGTAACCGTGCCCCACCTTGTCCTTAAACTGTGGTGCCGCAGACAAAAAAAAAACTATCCAGGGGTAGAACTGGCCAAATCCAACCAGGATCACCATAGATGTCGGTGCCTGGGGGTGGGAACTTGCATGAAGCAAAGGATGCAATTTATTTGCTTCCACATACAAGAAACCAGAAGCTTTCTTTTCACTGGAGGAAAACTGCAGCCTGGGACTGCATGCCTTTGCACATCCATGGACTTTCACTAGCTTTTGCCTTCCCTCCCTTCTAATTCCAACAATAACTTGCTGTGGACAAAGCCAAAGTAATTTTGATGAGTCATTTCTGTCGAAGAGGTAGGCTATTTATGGCAAAACTTGCAAAAAATACTCCCAGTGGCTGAAAGACTGGTCATACAGCACCCTAAAAGTACAGTTGACTCTCTGGAATTGGGTTAGCAGAAGACCCTCTGATTTTAATTGTTTTACATCTATTACAAGGGGTTATCCACCAAAAGTCAGGAACTTTTTTCTATATGGGAACTCCCCAACAATCTTAAGTGTTAATCTTAAATCACCAACTTTTTTTCAAAGCAAGTATTCAGAAAAGAAAATGAGATTATTCTGTCATGCTTGTGGCTTTAGTTTTTGCCAGGAGAGCTGGTGAAATTCGCATCTATCCATCATAATGCCAGACCTCATTTTGAAGCTGCTTTATGTAAGTAGCCAATTATAGAACACAGGGGAATTTATCGAAACTGGAGTAAAGTGAATCTGGAGTAGTTGCCCATAACAATCATTTTATCTGTTCAATTTGTTGTTTTGGAAAAAAAAGCTGATTTTATTGCCATGGGCAACTGATCCAGATGCTTTCTGCTCCAGTTTTGATAAATTCCCCCTGAATATACAACCCTTTTTGCACAAATCTAAATAATGAAGGAAGTCAAACCATGTGTGTCCTGGTCTCTGGACCAAGAAGGGGAAAAGGAGCAAAACCATGACCTGGCAAGATGCATCCAAATGCTCCTCTGGAGGTTTGAGCAACACTGAGATTCCACAACTGTGTCACCCCTCATTCAACAAGGGCTTTGGCTTAATCATGGGCTGATGAAGTTGGTGTTTCTCAGGAGCAGATCTGCATGTCAGCCCCCTGTATGACCTTTCAGATCTTTGTGCACCATTACAGGATTTACCTTCTATTAAGTTAGGACTAAGCCTCTGGCAGAAATGTCTCACACAGTCTTCTCACCCTAGTAGGTATTGCTTGTCCTCATGTATGCTGTCCTGGAAGATTATGGGGGGGGGGGGGGCCGGGTAACTCAATTTCCATTTTTACCCCACCATTGTTACATTATCTTGGGTAATGTGTTCTTTAGCTCTTCTCATAACACTGAGTTAGGTTCTTTGCTTTAGAATGAGTGCTTCGCTCACCACCTCTATCATTTTTATACCACATACAATAACCACTGAATAAGTGTTTCCAACTTGTCTAAAATGTTTTTAGTATGTTGATCAGGAATAATTGACAAATATCTAAGCTAAATAGAAATGACAGAGGAAATGTTGGACTGCTGTACACTTGATTTCGAAGGCCTGTATAGACATTTAGTTCTGCAAACAAATGTACTTTTGGAGATGAATAAACCTGTAATGCATTTATCTTTGCCTAGGACTGCTGGAATTGCTATTCTTGCCATCATCGGTGCACTTGTTCTAATTATTGGATGCTGGTACTTTAGGAGGAGGAGTGGCTATAAAATACTTGGGGTAAGAACTTTTTTGTTTTATATGCATGTACAAATAAACTTTTAAACTATGCAACACTAACACATTTTTATTTTTCCACAAGACTCAGCAGTTTCGTCCTTCTGCAATCCGGGCTATGATGGGTGGAACACGAGAGCCTGCAGAGTGTAAAGTACCCTTACAGGATTACAACACCCTGAATGTTGTAAGTTCATTTTAACTTTTTAGGTGCAACTCGGTATCTATATGCAATGTGAACACATTAGACACTTGTGACCTTGCCTTTTTCCATCAAGAGTGACTGTTTAAGTCTCCTCTCAACCACAACATTGGCAATCACTAACTCTGAGGCTATCCTACTGTGAATCCAACTTTCACTTGTCTTCATGGGTCAGATCTGTTGACTAGTACCCCCCCCCTTCAATTGGTGTGGTCCCTTTTGGGGGTTTTTAGCAGTTGAAGTTCTAGCCAAAACCGGTTGAGGCTTCATTAATATGATGCTTAACATCTTTAGGGACTCCCACTTGTATCCAAACCTGCTGACACTGATTGACATGGAGTTAATGAACTGGTTAAAAAATATTAATATTAAAGCAAAACTATGCTGGAATAGCAGACCTCATGTGCCTCAAGATGCCACCAATTTGATTTTGCTGAGATTCTATGAATTGTAAGGCAATTGCCATTATTTGCTGACAGATATTTGCTGACAGATTTGCTGACAGCCCTCAGCTTGCTACACAAGCTGAGGGCTATGGGCATAGATGAGGTGGTGTGTATGTGGATAGAGAACTGGCTACGGAACGTGTCCAGAGGGTATCTGTAAATGGCACCTTTTCAGACTGGGCTAGTGTAATGAGCGGTGTGCCTCAGGGTTCTGTGCTGGGTCCCATATTGTTCAACTTATTTATTAAACCTCTTAAAACTATACTAGGATTTTGCTCTTCAGCCATAAAATGCGTTATGAACAAATACCTAATGTGGTACAGCACGGCGTGTTTCATATCCTAAGGGACCATTCAGTCAAGGATTAAGTGTGCATTTGCTTCCAAAATTGCTGGCGCTTCTGACTGACGACATTGATACCAATCCAGGCAGCATATGGTCACGCTGCTTGCAATACAAAAAAATTGTGCATATGACTAAGTTCAGAGCAGATACCTGTTCTCCCTTTTTTTTGAATGGCTGCTAAACTTAAAGTTTACCCAAGCTTTTATAGTTTCGCTTTTTTTTATAATATAAACCGTACCTTTAATGCAGCAATACGCCTCTTTCAATCACTTTCAGTTTACTGACTAAATTATGTCTTGAATTTGCAGGTTCCTGGAGCTCCACCAGCATATGAGAAAATCTCTGCAGAAGCTCAGCCACCACCATATGCTCCCTGAACTAAGCATTTGCCATGCTTTTCTGATCTGCATTATTGGATCACTGCCTAATAAAACTGTACAAACAAAAAAATTGTTTAAAAAAAATAAAAATGGATGACTGTTCTAGTTTTCTTACAATAAAGCATTACATGGTTATGAATGATAAACAAGCTGGTTTTAGTTAATTGTTTAATCTGTCTACTTGAACTTGAAATGTAGGACCAGCAAGAATACAAAGTTACCATTTCTAACAAATTCTGAACTTGCAAGCTTTAGTATTACCTTAATCCATGCTCACTGCCTGGAAAACTGTGTGGCTTCACTGGCTACATGTTCTGTAGGAATGACTTTTTAAGTAGCGAAGCATGAGTAGCGACTCTGTACTGTATCAAACATTTAGTATTCAGATCTTGCAATCTAAGTATTGGGTCAGTATTTTGTAATAAAATACAGAACAAGTAATGTTCTGGTTTCATACTGGCCCTGACTTAAAGTGACATTAAACCCTCAGATTTTTTTAACATAAAACAATACAGTAATGTGTGCCTTACTGTAATCCCTGGTTGTTTCCCTTCTCTTTGCTGCAGACTGCCTTGTCTCAGGAATGGATACACGGTGTCTGTGTATTAGTTTCTATAGGCTTGTAACCTGAGCCAGCACTACAGGAAGAGGCCCTGAGCTGCAAAGGGAAGTTCTGCAGAGCATGGGAAGACATGAGGATTTAAAAGGAAGAGCAGCAAAGAAGGAAAACCATGGATTACAATAAGGCACACGTTACAGTATTGGTTTATGTTAAAAAATCTGAGGGTGTAATGTCACTTTAAGAATGTGCATCAAGAAGTCAGAACGTGTGTGTGTGTGTGTGTGTCCCTAACCGCTCGAACTGAGAAGAACCCCCTTCGTCCCTTGTGTCAATTTTTGTTTTCTACCAGTTTCAGGTGGTGGCCTCTAGTCTTTGTTACAGAATTAATCGTAAAGCGTTTGTTGCTATGACTATGGAACATTTTGTACATGAAAATTATGTCCCCCCTTAATCTCCTTAATTCCAGCGTGAACATATTTAAATTTAGTAACCGCGTCTCATAGCTCTTGTCTCCATCCCCTTGATGAGTTTGGTCGCCCTTCGCTGGACTTTCTCCAGTTCAAGGACATCCCCTCTGTGTACCGGTGCCCAAAACTGCACCGCATACTCCAGGTGAGGCCGAACCAGTGATGTGTAAAGTGGCAAAATTATAGACTTATCCCTGCAAAACATTCCCTTCTTGATACAGGACTCTACAATGCTGCTTACCGCAACCTGGCATTGTAATCTATTGAGTTTATGGCCTACAGTGACCCCCAAATCTTTCGCCATTTCAGACTTCCCTAGCGGCAAACCCATTATTGTATAACCCATTTGCTTGTTTTTTTATCCCAAAGTGCATAACTTTGCATTTATTGACATTAAACCTCATCTGCCATAAATTTGCCCACTCCCCTATTCTATCCAGGTCCTCCTGCAATGTTATACTATCTTGGTTTGTTTCTATTACCCTCCCAATTTTGGTATCATCAGCAAACACTGAGATATCGCTGTTTACTCCGTCCCCGATGTCGTTAATAAACAGGTTGAAAAGCATCGGTCCCAGCACAGAACCCTGAGGCACACCGCTAATAACACTAGCCCAGTCTGAAAGGGCGCCATTTATTGATACTCTCTGTACCCGTTCCTTTAGCCAGTTCTCTATCCATGTACACACCCTTCCATCTATGCCCATAGCTCTTAGCTTGTGAAGTAAGCGTTTATGAGGTACCGTATCAAAAGCCTTAGCGAAATCCAAATATACCACATCCACAGACCTCCCTCCATCCAGATCTCTACTTACCCCCTCGTAAAAAGTCAGTAGGTTAGTCTGACAGGAACGGTCTTTCCTAAACCCATGCTGATTATCACTAACTATACCATTAGCCTGAACAAATTCTACTAAATAGTCCCTAATCATTCCCTCTAGCAGTTTGCACACTACAGATGTAAGACTAACTGGCCTGTAATTCCCAGGTTGGCATTTTGCCCCCTTTTTGAAAATGTGAACTACCGTAGCCCTCTGCCAGTCACATGGAACTCTACCAGTCATTAGAGAGTCCTTAAAATGAGGAATAACGGTCTTGTTATAACCTGGCTTAGTTCCTTAAGTATCTTCGGGTGCAGATTATCCGGTCCCAATGCTTTATTTGCATTAAGTAGACTAAGTCTTTGTTGTATCCCGGGTTCTGTCAACCACTTGGCTGTGTTTTGTGATGAACTAGGTGTTTTATCAGGGGCGTCAAACCCGTTTCCCTCCTGAGTGTATACTGAGGAGAAGAAAGAGTTCAGTACTTCGGCCCTCTCCTTGTCATTTGTGACTAAATTCCCTCTATCGTCCTTTATTGGGCCTATCTGCTCCTTTCTCACCTTTTTACTGTTTATATTGGTAAATTTTTTTGGTTTTTTTACTATCTATGGCAATATGTCTTTTGCACTCTATTTTAGCCGTCCGTATTGCTAGTTTGCGTCTTTTATTGCTTTCTTTATAGTTGTGGAACGCCAATGCCGCCCCCTCTATCTTATATTTTATGAAAGCCATTCGCTTTTCCTTTATGTGATGCTTTACATTTTTATTCAGCCATACAGGTTTTGTTTGTGATCTTTTACTTATATTACCCAATGGTATACATTTGGCAATGGCAACATGTAATGTGTTTTTAAAACATTACCACTTTTGGTCCGTGTTTTAGATTTTGAAATACATTTTCCCATTTGATGGTAGTATGACAACCAAGGGGCTAGCATTTTCAAAAAGGTATGGCAATTTGTAAGTCTGGGGAATTTTCTTCTGAATCATGGTGGTGCCCTCTAAAATTGGTTATAGAAGGGGGCAGGTTGCTTTTTTAAAACGAACTGCAATTTGCATTTAAGTCACTCGATCCAAAACATCTTACTTTGCTTTAGAAATAATGGTTGTGGTTTATTTAGCCCTAATCTCCAACTTTCTGTACCACTACAAATAGGGAAAAGGCCTGACTGAGTACTAACACTATTTTTTTTTTTTTAAATATGGGAAGGTAAAATAAATCCTACCGGCTAAATGTATTTGTGTTTACAGTAACTGGAATACTGATAAAAGGTAATTCAATTGGATTTTCATTGGCTGTAAATTAGCCATCCCATTCTACTAGTGGGCATATTTATAAAGTGGTAAATATGGCATTTACCAAACCTAATTTAAAATGCATGCAACATGAAGGTTCTCCTGCACAAAAAGTTTGGTTAGTCACATTCTCTCCGTTTTATAAATATGCCGCTTGTGCGAAGAACTTTCTCATAGGATGAAAACTGACCAAGTCTTTTAAAAATATTAAATGAACGTTGGCATGATGCTCAATATGAATCATCCTTCCATACATTCTTTATAGAGTTATATACAGAGTAGCTACATGTAGCATTTTCTGGACAAGTGATTGCACCACTTATCATAATCGCAACAGGAGCAAAGGACATCTCCCTAGATGTGTTTCCAGGACAGCAAAAAAAATGCAGGACTCCACCCAGCTGAGACGGGAAACGCAATCACCACAAACTATAAAATTAAGGTGCCCATACACCTTACGACCATCGCAAGACTTTTGTCTTGCGATGGTCGTATGCTTCTTGAAAGCCCGTACGATCTGCCCACCTTGGGCGGGCAGATCGTACTTGCGATCATCGAAAGCCCGCCCCGCTGAGGGGCGGGCTTCCGATGACGGCAATGCAGAACGGGCAGTGTGCGCGTGCGCACACCGGCCCGTTCCGCAGCTATCGGACGAGCAGGCTAGAAACCCGCCGAGAATCGTACGATTCTTGTCGGGTTTTTGAACATGTTGGCTCGACAAAAGACATGCGACCGTACAGTAGAAACGGTCGCACGTCTTAGTTCACACTGCTCGATTCTCGTACGAGAATCGAGCAGTGTATGGGCACCTTTAGGCTGCTCCCTTGTACTACTAGACTGCTGTTTTTTCCTCTAGAAGAAAATGTCATTGCAGGAACACGGTGTAGGCAAACCTTCCCCTCTCTCCATGATGGTCTTAGCTATCCGTGCAGTTTCAAGTGTAGTTCCACTTTTGCAGTCCATATTTCAGAAAAATCCACTGTAATGTGTTCCCATTCACACAGCATACCAAAAACTCATTTTAAATGTAGATCTTACAATTTAGCGGTTTCCTTGGAGAAGGTCTTTGTGCAGATTCCAGGCTGCTCTGAGCACTTTGAGTGAAACTATAGGGTCAGACTGAGCTGCCTTTCATTAAGGCACAATGCCTTGAAGGCTTTAACCCTTTGCGTTCAAATCTAGTTTACAATAGATAACATCTGCCAGTACAGACGGGATTAAATATGGAGCCGCTGATCGCCTATATGTGAAACACCCAGAATGTTATGAAGAGTGATCAGATTAATTGCAAAGTCCCTCAGCCATTAAAAATTAGCTTGATCCCCACAAAACATTTCCCCTGCATTTCAGCCCTGCCACAAAAAAACCAGCTGACATGTCAGTGATTCTCTTGTTAACACAGGTGTCAGTGTTGATGAGGACAATGCTGGAGACCGCTCTGTCGTCCTGATTGAGTTAAGCTGCCCATACACCTTACAACCATCATGACTTTCTTTGTAAGGTGACTAAATTTTGTACGATCTGCCCATCTTGGACAGGCAGATTGTACTTGCGATCATCGCAAGCCCTCCCTGCTGAGGGGAGGGCTACCGATGATTGCAGAGCTGAGTGGGCAGTGTGCGCTTGCGGCATTAGTCATCCAAGCACGCCACCAACCTGCCAAAAATCATACGAATTTCGGCAGGTTTCCAGTGTGCTTACAGTAGAGGCGGTCGCATGCTGCCCATACACCTGCCGATTATCGTACGATCACACGTGATTCTCGTACGATAATCAGCAGGTGTATGGGCACCTTTTAGAATAACAGACTGGAAGCTTTAAAAAAAAAGGGTGGTGCTTGAAATCAGTGTTCTTCTGTTAACCATGGTTACCTGCAAGGAAACATGTGCAGTGATCATTGCTTTGCACAAAAAGGATTCACAGGCAATGATATTGCTGCTTCTAAGATTGCACCTGAATCAACCATTTATTGAATCATCAAGAATGTCAAGGAGAGAGGTTCAATTGTTGTGAAGAAGGCCCAGCAAGGGCCAGGACCGTCTCCTAAAGTTGATTCAGCTGTGGGATCGGGCCCCACCAGTGCAGAGCTTGCTCAGGAATGGCAGCAGGCAGGTGTGAGGTGAAGACTTTTGGAGGATGGCCTTGTGTCAAGAAAGAAGCCACTTCTCTTCAGGAAAAACATAGGGACAGACTGATATTCTGCAAAAGGTACAGGGATTGGACTGCTGAGGACTGGGGTAAAGTCATTTTCTCTGATGAATCACCTTTCTGATTGTTTGGGGCATCCGGAGAAGAAAAGGTGAGCGCTACCATCAGTCCTGTGTCATGCCAACAGTAAAGCATCCTGAAACCATTCATGTGTGGGGTTGCTTCTCAGCCAAGGGAGTGGGCTCAATCACAATTTTGCCTATGAAAACAGCCATGAATAAAGAATGGTACAAAAACGTCCTCCAAGAGCAACCATTCAAGAACAGTTTGGTGACGAACAATGCGTTTTCCAGGATGATAGAGCACCTTGCCTTAAGGCAAAAGTGATAACTAAGTGGCTTGGGGAGCAAAACATCCAAATTTTGGGTCAATGGCCAGGAAACTCCCCAGACCTTAATCCCATTGAGAACTTGTGGTCAGTCCTTAAGAGGCGGATGAACAAAAAAAAAACCCCCACAAATTGTGACGAACTTCAAGCACTGATAATGCAAGCTGCCATCAGTCAGGATGTGGCCCAGAAGTTGATTGACAGCATGCCAGGGCAAATTGCAGAGGTCTTGAATAAGAAGGGTCAACACTGCAAATATTGACTTTGTATAAATTTGATGTAATTGTCAAGAAAAGCCTTTGACACTTATGAAATGCTTGTAATTATACTTCAGTATACCATAGTAACATCTGACAAGAAGATCTTAAAACACTAAAGCAGCAGACTTTGTGAAAATTTATATTTGTGTCATTCTCAAAACCTTTGGCCACGACTGTAGACTATTGTTTAACACAGTTGCATGCCCAAGGCTGTAGGACAGGGGTAGGCAAACTCTGGCCCACCAGCTGTGGTAAAACTGCACATCCCATCTGGCTCTGGACGTCATACCTGTGTCTGTGAGTCTTGCAATGCCTAATGGGATTTGTATGTACACCACAGCTGGAGGGCTGGAGTTTGCCTACCCTAGTTGTAGGATATATTCATGCTTCAGCAGAAACTGTAAATGTTGGGACACATCCTCAGCACTTTTAACTCCTTCCCATGAGCTATTTTGGCTGAAGACTGGATTAGGGAGTGTTATTCCTCTAAAATACATCTTTGTGGAACAAAACAGTAAGTCCCCAATGACTCTCCAGGCATGACAGAAGGAAGATTGGGGAACTTCCTATGACAGTAGGTACAGGCCACCCCAAATACTTTTATACTGGAGCTAACAGAACAAGGCTACAGATTTCTTTGTCTGCACTTCCGCCTTCAAGGGTTGTTCTAACTTATCCTCTAAAATGCCAGTTAAAGGCTCGGGCCTTAACTTTTATAGCAGAAATGGTAGATTAAAAGATCATGATAGTTCTAGTGGAAGAAAGAGAGCAGAGCTTTTTTTTTTATTTCTTTTCACATGGACTATCTTCTTGGCAGGAATAATCCTGTATTTAGGTTGCTTCATGGCACTGATTGACTTAGGAGATGCATATGTGCCCCTGGCAATACATCCAGCCTCTCTATTTTTGGCAGTGATGTGGAATAAGGGGAGGGAAACCTTTCAGGTAAAGAAGTGGTTATGTTGGTGATCCTAAGAATGATGATGGATGCAAGTGCCTGGGTATGGGAAGCACATGTGCGAAAAGCATGGCCCAAGGGCGAAGGTCCTCCAGCTGCAAGGAACTAAGAGCCATTCGGAAAACCCTCCAGGCCTTTCAAGACCATATCAAAGGCCTACATCTGCAGATATTCTCCAACAATGCTACAGTAGTAGCATACCTAAGCAAACAGGGGCACTCGGAGCCTAACTCTCTAAGGGGTGGCAGAATGAATAATATCTTGGTAGTAAAAATTTATCACCAGCACACCATTGTCAGCGCTGTAAAAGGTGATCTTTTTATTGATGTAAACACATCTGTCACATTGCAACACTTTGGGGCCACTCAGGGTCCCTTCCTCAGGCATCTTCTGGAATTTGAATAATATCTTGGGCACAGACCAACTCCTGTCTCTCCCAGCAATCCACTTAAATTCTTGGCAGATTACCCAAGTCAAAAGCTTCATGAGAAACCACCGCTCCAAATTCTGTGTGCACAGCTGAACAACACGATACAGTCCCGGGTGCAGACCAAACTAGCTCACCATTGGCATAATCACATAGAAGGTGATCGCACTCCATGGATCTTCTCAAATCATACATTTTTATTATAGATATCTGTAACACACTATATAGTGTCCCTCCAGCTGATCTTTTCCTAAATGAGATCCGTCAGTGGTTCTAAAGGTATTGGCCACTGTTCTGTTTGAACCAGCGGAATAATTGAAAAATGAAGCCAAATTGCACTGTTGGTTGCAGTCACAGCAGCTAGATGCTTAACTGAAATTCAGGCGCCGTCTATCAGAGAACTCTACTAACAGGTTTTCAGTGGCGTAACCAGAGTTATGGGTGCCCAGGGCAGAAATGTTTTTCACCCCCCCCATTATATAAACCTCCACTGGAACCATACCCCGCACCCCCCACACACACACGTTTTTATTTACATTTTTTCAAATGTTTTAAATATTTTATTTTTATTAAATTTTTGTAAATAAACTTTTTACATTAATTTTTATTAATTTATTTTTTATTAAATATTTTTATTTTTTACTTTACTTTTAGGGGCTTCCGGGAAATATTAGGGCTCTAAACAGATTTCCCTTTTAAAATAGAAAAAGAGATTGAGAACACAGAGTCCTCAATCTCTTTTTCTGTATCCCCTGTTATCAATGAACAGGAGTCCTTTATGAGTCTTCCTGTTCATTGATAACATGAGAACAGGGTATGTTTACTATAACGACAATTATGAATCAAAAGGAGGTGATGTAGATCACTCCCATTCATTCATAAATGAGGATACAGTAACCATACCACATCCTCAATTATCTACAAACACTCAGCGATCACTGATCACTGAGTGTATGTAGCCTGCTCTCCTCTCTGACACACACTGTCACAGGAGGCTGAGCGAGCAGTACACGGAGGAGAGCCCAGCCTCCTGTGACAGCGCGGTCTCCACCCCCACACCGCTCTGCAGCACTGTGATAGGCGGCTGAGCGGTGTGGGAGGAGAGACAACGACCGCTCACGGCGTTCTCCTCCCGCAGCGCTCGGCCGGCTGTCACTTTCTCTCCTCCACGCTGGGACAAAGAGCAGCGCCCAGCGGGGAGGATAGAAATCACGACTGCGCCGACAAGACGGCAGGAAAATGGCACTTTTTCGGCATTTAGCCAAAAGTGCCATTTTCGGCCGACGCCCCCCTTCAGCTTTACGCCCGGGGCCAGCTGAATAGAATATGTTTTGGAAGGGTTGCAATTTGTCAGATGGGCCTCACATTCTACCCCAATAAAAATACAGCATGCAAGAGAAATCTCCAAATGGGAACAAAGGCAGCAACAGAAACCCGATAGAGGTTCTAAGCCTTTCACACACTCTCTTCTCTGTGCCCCCCTCCCACTTTAGGTTCTACTCACTTTCTGCTCTGGTTACCACACAGAAAAAGCCTCCAAAAAGGGACACACCCGTTAAAAACTGGTCAAGGTCTAACCTTTCCCAGACAGTCAAAAATACCTTTTTGCCAGAGTTTAGCTATTTTTCAAAGTATCAACTTAAAAATAAAAAAAAAGTAATCACTCTGTAAAGCATGGATGTGAAGTAGCCCCTACTATCACCATATTTACTTCCTACAAGAGACAGTCTGCACAGGGATTGTATGATGTAGGTTTCCTCTAAGTGGTGCACTTTCCTCCCACAACCCAAGAACTTTCTGCCAGGTTTACCGGCTTTCTCCCAAATGTTTTAGGGCCCATTCATATCACATCCCGATCATCTCCAGACCAGATTGTTTCCGGACCCAAAATGCATCCTAATGTATCCCTATGCTATTAATGGCCTCTGTTCACACCATCGCAGTCCGTTCCAGACCAGAAAAACACTGCATGTCTCATTTTGTCTGGTCTGGAATGCACTGAAACTGTGGATAGCTTCACACCATTTTCCGAACCTGATCTGGTCCAAAAAATGGTGTGGACCTGCCCTTAGGCACAAGACAAATTTGAATTGGCCTTTTATTTGTTTGTTTTATTTGTTGTTTATAATGCGGACAAATACCACAAGAGATAAAAAATGTTTTTTAAAAAAGGTATAGAATAGGGCGCACCTTCAAAAGTACTACAAATGTAGGGTACAAGAGCTCTTCCCTTGCCCTTAAATTAAGTCTTTTGCATCAATTGTTTATAAAAGTACGTCGCAGGGATACAATCCTAATCCTTTTGCAATAGACAGGAGCAAACAAAAAAACCCAGTACAGTGACTCGTTTATTTACTACATGCAGATGAGCCTGCATTAATGCTAAACAGTACACTGAACTGCAAAATACTTAAAAAACTATACAATATGTAAACAAAACATAAATAAGACAATGCTCTTTATACATATGATTTAGTTAAGAATGTTAAAAGGTAAAGAATATATACAAGTTTTACATTTTGACTAAAATGTTCAGAACGCATAAATATTACATGAAAAAAAAATTGATTTTCTTTACAAATGTAAAAAGACAAATACTGTTCTAGCAAACTCTGAGAAGTATTGTGCAAATAGCTAAACTATCAATGTCAAACTATAAAATGGTACTGGCTGTTGAAAATGAATCCTATTGTTCACTAAAAAGAAACAACTTTAAAACAAAAACTTTAGATTAACTGTTTAAAGTCTTCATGAACAGCATAGGAAAACAACAATACATTGTCAGTTCAATAAAGTAAGTGCTACATCGGTTACTGGTTTCCCCTTATTTTAGTCGGCTTTAAGTTGCTACAGTGGGTGGCTTATCCGTTGTTGAAGACTGTTGCCTAAAACTATCAGCATCTGCCCTCTTGCTCTCTGACATGGCAGATGCAGGCAGGAGATTGCCAGGAGGGCTTGCAGTGTTTAACAAGACTGTCTCTGTGACTGGTGCACCTTTAGATAATGGTGCCATGTTTTGTTGCAGTGAATAGCTTCCTCTTTGTATACAAGGAACAAGAAGAGGCTGAAGTGCAGTTGTCGACAGAGTTTTGTTCACAGACAGAGAGCATGAAGAGAAATCACTAGATGCTATATTTACAGGCTGAATATTGGGTAGAGATTTCGACATATCAGGTGCAGTAGTGCACTTAAATGTTGGAATTGGGTACGGTGTTGGTGACATGTTTTGTTTCAATGCAGGTTGTGGTACTGTAGTACTAACAAGAGGTGAAGCATGACCCGCTTGTGCACTACCAACCAGTGGAGGTCCTTGCTTAGCATTAGTTGAAAGCAGTAGCATGTGACTGCCAGCTCCTAGACCTTGAGGCGGTACAATAAATCGTGTACCATTAATTGTGATTTGAGTTCCAGGAGCAAGTGGTGTGCTAGTGTTAATAATCAATTTATGATGACCTGAAGCTTCATTCATTTCTGGCCTTACTTGATTAACAGTAGTTGCAGGAAATGGTGGCAAAGCCTGTGAAGAAGCATGCCAAGGCTTATTTTTACACAATGTGGGTAGGAAAGAAGAAGACATTGTGGCTGGGGGCTTGCTCATATTTGTTGTAACTGGTGTATGAATACTTTGAGATATGGACTGGTTATTTTCACTTTGCTCCCTCAACGCTGGCTGATATGTAGATGTAATAGGCGTTGCTCCTAAGCTTGAAGTTGTCCCAAACAAAGCAGAGGATACTGCCCGCTGCAGTGATGATGATGCATGCTTTATCATTGGATTAGTTGACAGCAGAACGGATGATGAAAGATGCCCAGTTTTTACAGTTGAAATAGCAATAGTACTTCCTAAACTTGCTGTAGGTAATTGACTAGACACAGATGATAAAGTGCTTAAGTCATTCCCTTTTCTTTCAGTGGCACTATACAGGACTGTATTGGCAGGTGCCACTGACCCCTTTGTAGAAGCAACAGTATAGTCACAAGTAATATTTGAACTTGTGACATGTTCACTATGTGATTTTGAAAAAGTAGGTACTGTTGAAACAGCACAATCTTTCGGAGTGCCTTCATTTCCTTTTCCCAATGTATTCTGCAGAATGTTAATTGGAAACATGTTTTTAATGCCAGCAGTATTATTAACAATAGTCTGTCCAATGGTTAGACCAATCTTTACATCTTTAACTTGAGAAACAATAGGTGGTGAACTCATTTTTATAGGCGACCCCATGGTGGAAGGAATCAGGAAAACCTGTGGCTGTTCAGGAGGCCTGACATATGTTTTACCAATATTAGTAGAAGTAGTTTGCTTGGAGGTGGGTGATGTCATATTTGCAGTTGATGAACTGGCTGGAAGTTGAGTGTTAAAAAAAACAAACTTTTTTGGTGGTACTGGTGCCAATGCTGGTGGAGCAACAATGCCCATATTTGGTGATGTACCAGGTTGATGGATTGAAGGTGCAGTAAGCAACATGACTTGATGCATGGAAGATCCACCCACAAAATCACTCTTTGATGGAGTAGTACTGTCAGGCTGTACCAGAGAAACATTGGCTGCCTGGGTTTCACTTTGTTTTAAATCTGTTCCAGCCTTCCTAATGCCACTGCAGTCCTGCCCAGTACTACAGCAGGAAAGAGGAGTTACAGTACCTGCTGAAGTATTTGTATTAATAAAAGAATTGGTAGAAGGACAAGTACTTGCATGCGAAACAAACGGCAGAAAGTTAGGTTGCATAGGGTTAACCATGGTCTGAATTGTTACCCTAGGAGCAGGTTGGTGCACTTGTGCCCAGTTAGTGTTTGATTCTGTCACCTGGTTTATACCAACAGAGGCTGATGAGAACACTGGTTGACTTTGTGATGTAGTTACGGAAGTAAATGTAGAAGTTGCTGAGGGTTTAGTTCTTGACACTAGAAAGGACTGCAGCTGTGGTGTAAATGTGAATATAGGACTAGGAGGCATACCTGCAGTACCCTGATCTTGGCATGTTTGTACTTTCACAACACCAGTGTTACCACCACGGGTCCTCACAAGAATTGACTGAGAATCACGAATGCACACAGTTCTTAATTCTTGCTTTGCTTCAGCTATTTCCCTTTGTGGTACTGGGGACGAGTTTGCCATTTGAATTGCCACAGGAGGATTGCCTGTGTTTTGTGTGACATGTCCAAAGTCAGTCTTAATAGGTAACGACCGTCCGTAATTGGATGACATCACAGATGCTAGAAAATTTGAAGTGCTGTTTTTACTTGTTTCACATGGGTACAGTGATGTGCTGCTTGCAATTGTGGACACCGGTGGTTGGGAAACAGGAAGAGTAGCACATTTAGTGGAACATAAAATACTCTTGCTCAGAGCCATTGGTGGTGCCTGGGAACCAGTGTGACCTGTGGTGACACTGGACAATGGCACATTAAACGCACAGTGTTGATGCACTACATCAGATTGTGTGGGCTGGTTTACTTGGGGTGTTCTGTCATCTTTTTGCTGTATGAAAATATTTTTAGGTAAAACCAGGACCTGCTGCATGAGTCTATCTCCAGTTTTAGCATCTACCACAGGTTGCATCTGAATCTTCACAGAAGAATTCTGAAGATCAACTGGGACACACTGTCCATCCGGAAGTTTGTAAATCATCTGCAAGGGAGCTTTTAAAGGAGTCTGACAAGACAAGGGAGATTTCACTGGGTAAGGGGGCGTGGGTGAAGATGGTGTACTTTCAGAACAAGGCACAGTATTGCTAATAGTCTGAGTTAGCGGACTTGTTAAGGTCACCGGATTCCCACTATTCTTTGCCAGCAAAGTTTCAGTCAATTTCGGTCCTTTATATATACTAGGTGGGATACCAAGAGCCTCTCTGCCCACTTCCATTTTCTGAAGATCACTTGCAACACAGTTGCTTGAAGGTGTTTCTCCTTCTGTGGATGTAGAAGAGATCTCAGGGGTGCTTAATTTAATTTTTTGTGCTAAAATGTCTTTGTCTTCAGCTTCTACTAATCTAAACTGCCGCTTGCTGCTCCTCGTTTGGCATTTTAATATGTATTCTTTCTTGGGCATCTTGCCTTTCCCACAGACGTCCGTCTCAGTGTGCTCTAGTTTATCTGTAACAGACAATGAAACCATATTAATATTAGAAAGTTATCCAAACATATGTGCTGGCTTTAAATTCGTTTCATTATATACTACTGTACAACCATAAATTCCTTTTCATACATAAACCCAACTCCAGTATACTGATACATTTTCTATTATAAGGGTGAAGCAATGAAATCATCACATTTGGAAACAATTGCTTTTACATATGAAGCAACCTGTAGTATCCACTGTACCTGCTGAGACACTTGGCTTGTTTCCATTAAGTAAATGAAGATACAGTTTACAAAGTACCATTTATGAAAGTATTTCCAATGAGAACTATTACTCCATACCTACCAGGTGCAAACTTCCACTCTTCAACTATCATCTATCTATTTATGTTTGAATCTGATTGGTTGCTCAAGGAAATGCAGACATTCCTTTATGATGCTTTAATAAATGAGGTTCAGTGGCTTCATTGTCAGTAAATACCTGCTTTCATGCACTACATCTTGCAACTTTTTTTGTTGAGGTGTGTTCCTCTCTATTCTGTGTTCACAGTTCCTTATGGCAACAACCAAGCTTTACCATTTATTGAAAGGGGACTAACCACAAACACAGGTAACCTACAACATGATTTTCTTGCCTTTACAATGTTTTTTTTTTTTTAACGTATAAAAGAGTGCGTTACATATCAGTGATACATGATTAAAGAAACTTTCTCCCTAGGACCTGAACAGAAGAAAGTGTATGGTATTCATTTTTTATTTTTAGTTATATGCATATCTAACAGGAAGTCATTCTTTTTGTCTTTGAACAAAATCCTTGATGCATATTTTGGCTATCAACACTACTTTCAAGCCCAACTCTTCAGCACCCTAGTGCTTTCGCCTTCACATTACAGTATTTGATGCTTCTTTTAATTTGTATACTTACCTTATCCAGATGTCTTCAGGCTGATCATATGACATATCTCTTTGGATATTCTCCCAGCATTGAGTGGCCCTCATTGATGCATCATTACATTGAGTACAGCAAACAAAGTTGATGCCCAGCACTCAAGGTATGTCCTCAGTTTTCCCAGGAAACTGAGGACATTTAGTGGCAGAATGGAATTACTGCAGGGGACAGATTATCTGGCGTCGGCTAATGCTAGCCCTGTGAAGGTCTACAAACACAACAGGAACCCAATATAAGAACAAAAAAAACCCCCAAAACATTTTTATTTTGCCAATTTCTAGAAAAGTCCAATGTGAACAAGGGCAAACACACATCTAGTACAGTGAGAAATCGGTTAGATCTTCTGAAAATGTTTTTATTGCTGTAGGTGCCTTCTTGTTCCACTGACTACCGCACCTTACAATTCTTGCATGGGCATGAAAAGGATAGAAAGCAAAAGAAAATCTCCCCAATAGAGATTGACGTCTAAAGCTGGATTTTAATGAGAACTGGGAACATTATTAGTTTGTGGTGCCACTCTTTACCTTTTGTGTTTTGTATTGTTGTAAGCCTTCCCATGTGCGCCCTGCTATAAAGGCTGGTTATAGATTCATGCGGTTGCCATCTTTTTCTAGTTTGACTATTTTTGATGTGGGGGCGCGCTGGGGGTCCCAGCGTGCATTTTTGGTTGCTGGGCCCCCAGTGCATCCCTGCACCTTTTGAGGAGGAGTAGGCTGCCTCCCAGGCACACCTGCATTGAATCTATCAACTTCATTAATATGCTCACACTTGGAGACTCATATAAATAGAGTTAGGACGACACTTTGCAGAGGTGCCTTGACGGTGGCAGTGTGGCTTCCACATATTTTTGGCCAAAGGTTTGTCCAACTAAAACCTCTGTTTTTAACGCATACTGTTGACAGGGTAATTAGTTTTGTTGCAGGCTAGCTGGCAGGTGCGCTGGGGATCTCTTTGTGTTTTGTATTGTTGTAAGCCATCCCATGTGCGCCCTGCTATAAAGGCTGATTATAGATTCAAGCGTTTGCCATCTTTTTCTAGTTCCTCTCTTTGCCATCTGCCCTGCCATCGATCTCCCTCATACACATGATCGCCACACGATCTCCCTCTGATCTCCTCCCCGTTCTGTGAATGCAGGAACTGACGTTTATTACATCACTTCCGCATTCAGCTGTCACTCTCCGGCTACAGAAGCCTGAGAGAAGCTGGTGAAGCAGATCTGTGCTTCATCAGCTTCTCCTGGGGTCCCTAGGTGACATTAGGGGTCTTAGAGACCCCTGCTGTCTTTATGAAGAGGACCTGTCACATCATCTTTGCTATCACATAGGAGGCTAACAATAAAGTTAAGTTAAAAAAAAAACTGGTCACAAAAAAAAAAATTGACACCAAAAAAAACAAAAAAAACCACACGTCAGGAATGGCAGCTCCCCTATTACTATACTGGGGCACATTCTTGTTAATGAATGTGGTGAAGTACTGTAGAAGATACTAACTCAGATGTAAATTTAAATACATTTTAAGATGTTGCCAAACTGTGAAAACATTAACATGAATTTTCAGGAAAATATAAACACCCTTCGGTCCAGTTGCATTACAAATATTCTGCCGGGTAAAACAGATCACACACTTGTGTATTTAGCCATTTGGCTGCAGTTTTATTACAAAGCATACCATGACACTCGTTCTTCTCGATTTCCTTGTGACAGAGTTCAGATGATTTAGGTACAGAACTTGGAGATTTGCTTGGTACACAATCACCACAAGAAGATGATTCTCTGGTAAAATTCTCACATTCTGGCAGCCTTTTGAAATCATCATAGTCCTTTCTTAGACGTGCACTGCAAGAGAACATATAGGAAATGTCAGCAACCAACACTGCTCTGTGTCCATGCTGCTACCACTGCAACCTGAGCTGATGTCTCATGCTATATGATACAAAGGTCTGTAACCTGGACTGATGTCTCATCCTGTATTATACAAAGGTCTGCAACCTGGGCTTATGTCTCATGTTGTATTATACAAAGGTCTGCAACCTGGGCTGATGTCTCATGCTATGTGATACAAAGGTCTGTAACCTGGGCTGATTTCTCATGCTATATGATACAAAGGTCTGTAACCTGGGCTGATGTCTCATGCTATATGATACAAAGGTCTGTAACCTGGGCTGATGTCTCATGCTGTATTATAAAAAGGTCTGCAACCTGGGCTTATGTCTCATGCTGTATTATACAAAGGTCTGTAACCTGGGCTGATGTCTCATGCTGTATGATACAAAGGTCTGTAACCTGGGCTGATGTCTCATGCTATATGATACAAAGGTCTGTAACCTGGGCTGATGTCTCATGCTATATGATACAAAGGTCTGTAACCTGGGCTGATGTCTCATGCTATATGATACAAAGGTCTGTAACCTGGGCTGATGTCTCATGCTATATGATACAAAGGTCTGTAACCTGGGCTGATGTCTCATGCTATATGATACAAAGGTCTGTAACCTGGGCTGATGTCTCATGCTATGTGACACAAAGGTATACAACTAGATGTCTCATGCTATAGGACTATAAAATGTTACATAAACATCCACCTACTAAACAGGAGTTACATACTATCTTTTGAGTAAGTAAATATTTTCTAGGTTTACAATGCTGTGTTCAGTGTGTTATTACCGATTTCTTTGAAAAGCCTTCAGTAGCTTTGGTTCCCATGGCAACAGTTCATTTAGCAGACGTGTCAAGGTGCCATGAAGCTCTTTTACACCTTGCCTCCTTAAGTGCCATTTTACCTAAAACATTAATTGGAGCAAAGATAGTTTCAAGGAAAGGAAAACTGTATACAAAACCTATACAACCTATAAAAAAGCCTGAACAAGCTGACTGACACACCAGTATCTGCAGGCAGCAACATTGGCTACAGAAATGACCATAGCTGTCCAAAAGCAGCAGACAGTAGTAAACCAAAATATCAGGATACAGACTTTCAATGAACTACATGTGGAAATGATATATGTAAACAGTTTGTGGAACACGTATGTAAGATATTTTAGTTTTTACCATTCAACCTTAGGTGTGTTGTCAGCTTTAAAATCTGCTTAACTGGTGTATGGCCAGCTTTAGCTCTGGTTTGTGCAAACCAATTTTTGTTACAACTTTGGAGTAATAGGTAAAGGAAAGCGCTCGTCAGGAAGTGAAACATACATAGTGTATGGAACAAAGTATAAAAATAAAAAAATAAACCTTTTACAATTACACAATGCTGAAAATGTGTGCTACAAACCCGCAACCCTTAATACTATACCAATGTAACATATTTTATAACATAACAGATTAGGTAAATGATCTCTAGAAGAGCATCAATTAACAATCAGCTTCATATACTGTATCGGTTATATAAGAAGCTGGCATTTTTAAAGTTTTAGTCAGAGACTTTATGAAGCATAGAGCTGGATCTCTGTTCTAGGCTAGAAACGTTTTTCATTTAATTTGTTTACAAAGACTGAAAACTGTTATACGCTGCACTTATATATAGATGCAAAGCCAACTATGTTTAGCTTTTACCAGATATGGGAACATTAAACTATATCATTTTAAATAGTATTAGCAGCTCTTTTTCTATAAAGATAACGTGTATTTCAGTTTTACTTCACAAAATAAGCGCTCACCGATTTCTTTTTGTTGCTTTCCAAAGTTTTGAGCTCTCCATCAATTTTGTTAATCAGCTCCTTGAGTTCATCAAGATTTGTACACACAAGCTGAAAAGAGAAAACACTTATTAGGCAGAATATAGTTGTCAAATAAAATCCTCACCTCACCAATTCACACAGCTGACTCTTGCAGGTCTCTTACATAGGTAGGCCTCCATGGTATGCAGGTACAGGATCAGCCAATCAAATTAAGACAAAAAACGGAGGTGCTATGCATTGATATCCCTGTTCCTAGAGTTGCCACCTGGCCTGTAACATAACAGCCTGGCTCTGCATACCATGGAGACCTGTCAATGTTAATAATAGTAAAGAAATTCTAAAACAGATCAATTATTTTTGCCAGAAAGAGAGGCAACTTTCCCGGTGCATGTCTGTTTCACAAAGACAGAGACCACTCCAACAGCCCCTCTCAGAGTGTCAGTTGTACAGCTCAACAAAGTGAATGTCATTAACCACTTGCTGACCAGGTGTTTAGACCCCCTTCCTGTACAGGCCATTTTTCAGTATTCAGCGCTGCAGTACTTTGACTGACATTTATTCCGTCATGCAGCGCTGTACTGAAATGAATTTTATACAATTTTTTGGGGACAGATAGAGCTTTCTATTGGTGGTATTTAATCACCACTGGGGGTTTTATTTTTTACTATATTTCGGGAAAATGACAGAGCATTTTGGAAAAAAAAAAAAGTTTTTGTTACATTATGTTAGGAAACAATTATTATTATTCAATTTTTTTCGTAAAATATAAAAGACGGCGTCGGGTAAATAGACACCAAACATTTCAAGCCTTAAAATTGCGCACACCCGTGAAATCGCAAAAAAACTACCATACCCAAAATTGACCATAGGCGACGCTTTAAAAGCTTTTACCGCTCATCAGTTTAGTGTTATCAGTGATTGATGGCCCTAGAATTATTGGTCTTACTGCGCCGTTCGCGGCGATATGTAACATGTGAGGCGTAATGGGCGCAATCGTTGTTTTAGCAGGTATGAGCACCCGACGCATGTTTACATGCGTGTATGTATGGGGAGGACTTTAAAAAAAAAATTTACATTATTTTTTATGTGTAACTTGAAATTTTTTTAATGTCACCTAGGACCGGACCCCCGAAAGAAGCTGATTTGTTTGGTGTCAATTTTAATTTTTTTTGTGACCAGTTTTTTTTGTAACTTAACTTTTTAACTTTATTGTTAGCCCCCTATGTGATAGCAAAGAGGATGTGACAGGTCCTCTTTATAAAGACAGCAGGGGTCTCTAAGACCCCTAATGTCACCTAAGGACCCCAGGAGAAGCTGATGAAGCACAGATCTGCTCCATCAGCTTCTCTCCAGCGTCTGAAGCTGGAGAGTGACACAAGAATGCGGAAGTGATGTAATATACAGTGGAGAGGGGACCGGAGGGAGATCATGTACCGATCTCCCTCAAATCCCCTGTCAGAGAGGCACTGTGCTGGTCCCGGGCTCGCACCAGGCAAAGCGGAGACTGGGATCAGCGTGACAACGGGAGGGGGTACCCGGAGGTGGGGTGGGGCACGGGTCGGCAGCTGATACAAGCGATCTGCCGGCTCTATAGCCGGTGGATCACTTGTATGTTAACCGGCATCGCTGCCCGTTTTTAAATTGTCGGCATTTCCCACTCGCGCGCGCCACGCACAAGTGGGCGTGGCTGAGAGGACATCTAAAGACGCCTGCTCAGATCTATAGAGCTGAGGTAGAGCTGAGCTAGAGAGGTAGTTAAAGTGAACATATTCCATTTTAAAAGTAAGCTGTGCCCAGGAACATCCCTTAGTCCAAGGAGATTGCTCTTACTGAACCCTGAAACGCTGTCAGGTGACAGCGAAATGGCTGTTAGTAGAGCTTAAGCTGGACATGCAGCAGTTATATCTGCTGTTAGATAAACAAAATTGGTCATTAGCTCTGTAGTACAAGAGCCTAACTGACTGGGTATAAATTAAAATTAGTTGTTTTGGTAAACCCTCAACAGTTTGTTATATATAGGAGATAAAATGTAAAGAAAATCTAACTGGTGCACACCTACGATGTATTAAGAGCTCAGGGAAAGTCAGGCTTCGGTAACAGTAAATATGAACATAAATCAGAGACACATGGGAGGATTTTCTGGGTAACATCAAGACCTTATGGTGTCTTTTAGATTTACTAACACATGTGGTGTGAGGGCCTACGTAAATAATCCATTTAATTAATATCCACTATGACTTTAGGCACTTCACAGCTGGTAAAGATAAGGCTGGCCATACACCTGGCAATTTTTTTAGTCAACCCGCAGGCTAAACGCAAAAAAAATTGACATGATTTCTCCATCAACAACAGCGTGTCGATCGAGGAATTGCCACTGTTTGCATTGTATTCTGACAGGTGCTGCCGCCACCTGTCAGAATACCCGATCAGAGCAGTCAGCTAATTGGCTGCCGACTCCGATTGCATGAAAAACCAGCCAGCTCCTTGTGATCAGCTGATCGAGGAATGCTGGCTGAAAGGGAGCCGACAGCCACACACACTGTGCGAATTTCGGCCAGTACATTAAAGGAGAACTATGGGGTCAGGGCTTTTCCCCATAGTTCTCCTTAGGGTACCGGGAGGACACAAACTAGCGTCCTCCCGTTACCCTAAGCTCAGTATACCGTGAGCTACAGCTCGCGGTATACTGAGACGCCGCAGCCAGAGCGGATCCCGACATCGATGTCGAGATCCGCCCAGCTGCGTGAGTGACAACTGGCTCTGCCTATCTAGAGGCAGAGCCAGCTGTACCCGACCCCTCCCCGTCCGATCCGCCAGTCAGCGCTGGCGGATCGGAGCGGGGAGGGGGGGAATCCAGCCCCTCCCCTGTCACGGCAGAGAGCTGTGACAGGATCGAGAGGTGAGCGAACGAGAGAGCTGTGAAAGTCTCATTGTCACAGGTCGGCTAGAACTATGAGGTGAGTGAAAAGCACTCACCTCATAGTTCTCCTTTAAAAACTGGCTGAAATTTGGCCAGTGTATGGGCACCTTAGGGGAGACTGAACAATCAGATTGTAGCGTGTGTGTGGCTAGCTTTAGGCAGGACAATTACTTATTGAAGTTTAAATGGAGTAGAGGTTCATGAAAAGGTGCCAATGAAACCGCCGCTGCTACACTGGCACATCAGACATTCTTCATATTGTTGTTTAACCCCTTCATGACTGAGCTTGTTTTTAGTTTCTGTTCGTAAATGACTGACACACTTTTGACATTTTTGCTGTGTGATTCTTCCACGTCAGTAATATACTTTCTTACAAAGTGCACCCACACATATTATATATTGTTTTTTAGAGGACAGATAGGGCTATATATTTATATCACATATGTGTGTATAACGCCTCACTTAGGGCAAATAAAATATAAAAAAAAAGGAGGAAAAAAACATTAAAAAAACCCATTTGTAGTATTTTTTTTACAAAACCAGCACAGCTAAAAAAAATGCAATAAATACAATTATTCATTTATTTGTCCCTTATTTTTATTTTTACACATTTTTTTTTTTACACTTTTCACTTTTTTTTAAACTTAAAAATGTTATTTTATTTATTTATTTAATTAATTGCGGCATGTGTGTGTGCCCGCTCTGCTTTGACTCTCAGACACCCGATATTAAGGTATAGTGTGTCTGAAAAAGGTTAACCCTTTCATTAATGAATGCCTGTGTAGTAAGGACATCCATTAATGAATGTTAAAAGCTGATTCTCAGCGATTAACAGCCCTCTAAAGCAGCAAATAACTCGTCACGTACAGTGTACGTGACGAGTCATTTGGTCCCTTTGTGGCTGGACGTACAGTGTACGTCTCCCGTCACGAAGGGGTTAAAGGCTAGATTTACATTAGTTAAAGATGAACTCCAGGCAATTGTACTGGGGAAATTCAAAACAGGAGTTGAGAAATACTGTATTGTAGAATTCATGCAGCCAGATTTCAGCATGCCCCTCACATTTGGACTGGGTGGGTCTGCTTCCTGAGGCATGTGGTGTGTGACTTTCTATTACATTCAAACTTGTAGAATAATGTTTCCTTTAAGTTTTCTTTTTTGGATAAAAAAAAAACTTTTAGATAAATAGTAGCACTTAAAACCCCCCAAAAACAACAAAGAAACACGTCCGTTACCTGGAATTCTGGAGTAGCAGGTGAAGACACAGCACTTTTCTTCTTCTTTACAACTATATTTGTAGAGAACGATTTTTTTCCTTCCGAAAAACAATGAGAAAAGAAACCTCATAAGCATTCTGTGGCATCAAACTGGTCAACTCTTGCACATTTTTTTATATGAAATAGTCAGCACAAACAAAACTATTTATGAAACATTTTTCAAACAGATGCTGCAGAGTCAGGCATTCCATTATTGTGTACCTAGTGTGCAGTTCTGAGAATGGCCAATTACTTAGCATGGATGAACGAATCTCCCACTGTGTACATTTTATTCTGATAGTGGTACCAGCCACCGTCAGAATACCTAAACAGTGCTTGCAGTGAATCGGCTGCAAGCACTGCACGGCTGACAATTTTCCAGCATGTCCTTTCGACAAAAGTCAATCTAATGATCGACTTTTGTAAAGGTGATAGGGCCACCCACGGATTGAATTTCAGCTGATTTAGCAGGATTTGGATGAAATTCAATCCATGTGTACCCAGCTTATAGAGGAGGCTACACCCTTATGTTTAACCCCTTCATGACTGAACTTTTTGTTTTTCAGTTTCTGTTCGTTAAATGACTGAAGCACTTTTTACATTTTTGCTGTGTGATTCTTCCACGGCAGTAATATACTTTCTTACCTAGTGCCCCCACACATATTATATATTGTTTTTTAGAGAACAGATAGGGCTATATATTTATATCACATATGTGTTCCTAACACCTCACTTAGGACAAATAAAATATAAAAAAAATTAGGGAAAAAAACCCCAAAGAAAACACTTTTTCACCCAGTTTTGATTATTTTTTAGAAATATAGTACAGCTAAAAAAATGCATTCAAATAAAAATTAATTTTTTTGTGCTTTATTTGGAAACACTTCACATCCCAAGGATTTAAAAAAAATGTTCTGTACTTCTCAGCCTAAAACTGAAAGCTAACATTTTATTTTTTTTCTCTAAAAGCTAATAGTGGCCACCAGATCAGACAGGTGGCATACAATGTTAGTGTCACTAAGTGTCACACTTTGTGATAGCGACATACTTTGAAAATCGCCGTCATTGCTGACAGGGGAAAAAAAGAGGGACATGACAAGCCAGTGTTTACAAACTGTCACTATGATTGCCTTATAATTTAAATTCATTTTTGGTTATTAATTTTTGGTTATTAGGCTGCCCCAAACTCAGGGACATCCAAAAATAACCTCAGTGATATTGATCCTTACATGAACTGCAACATTACAGGGTCAGATGTCATTGAAGACTTCTGATCGTTGTGGAGCCCTGAATAACTGCAGACGTACAGCGTATGTCCGCAGCCATTTGGGCACTTAAAGTGACATTTAAGTCCCAAATGTCCCCTCGCCCCCTCCCCCACCCCCGCTGCTTTAAGGACTTACCATAAGTGGTGCCTCTTGATCAGATCATCGTCTTCTTTCCACTTGAATTCAGCAACACCTCCAGCGCTGGTGGCGGTCTCTGATCCAGCGTAGACTCCTGTCTCTCCCTGTCCCACAGTATCTGTCAGACTGCAAGCTCCCGGATGCGTGCATTCAGCTCCACTGTGTCTCTCCTCTTCTCCCCACCAAAGATCTCTACTGCGCAAGCACCTGCCCAATCATCCTGCATGGCCGCTGGAGAAGATTCAGATCTTCAGACAGGAGCGAGTGGCGGAGACACAGGTAAGCAATTAACTTTTTTGGCTTTTTTAAAAATGTTTTTGCATATATCTACTCTGTGCTAGCAGGAGATATATGCAAAAAAAAAAACCCCAAGAGTTTAATTCTAGTTTAATAACGGGGACATACAGTGTACGTCTCTCACTGCTAAGAGGTTAACATACAACAAAGGACACATTTTGAAATGTTCACTAATGGCAATCTACAAAAGGATACTTCTAGATAATTGCAGCCTTCTTATTCTTTGCATACCTTATATTTCCTTTCCTCCCCAATTCTACTCACAGTGGCCATTTTTACTAAAGGGCAGAGGAACCCACCATCTTCCTTTACTTTCTGGAACTTTGGCACATATGACTAAGGACATGTGACCATGCACATCATCCCAGGGGGAAAAAAATATTTTTCCTACGATCTTGAAAGATTTTGCAGTTTACAGATGAGATTTCCAGCAAAGCTATGTGATATAGCCTTCCTAGGATGCATCTCTTAGGCCCAGATGACTTCACTAATGCATAATGAGGACCAGGAAGTGGAAAAACAGTAATTGGAAGAAATAAAAAAAAGTTTAACTAATTAATTTAGATGTAAATAACTGACGTGATATTTAGTGAAAGGGGTAAAGGTTCACTTTGAAGAAGAACTAAGGGCAGAATAATCTTAACCCTTGCAGTGGGGCTACCCCCACAGTGCAAGGGTTAAGTGCTAATTTTTGCCTAGGGACAACAACAAAAAAAGATGATGATATATTCACCTGAACTTTAGAGCTGGTTGGCTGTTAGGCCGGTTCCTGCAACTTCTCTCCTCCTCCACTCCAGCGAAGGACTGTCCCTCGGCATCCTCATATCCTATACACTGCATTGGACGTGATGACTCGCAGCAACTTAGACCACCTGAGTGGAGGGGGAGAGAGGCTGCAGGGACCTCTCTGGCAGACAGCTCCGAGGTTCAGGTGAGTATATCTTTGTTATTTTCCTCCCTAGACGAAAATGAACACTTAACCCTTGCATTGCAGGGGTAGCCCTACTATAAGTTAATACACATTTTGCCCGTAGTTCTTCTTTAGCTGGACCAGACAGCTCACCCACACAGCAGTAGTGATACAGAAAGACTTTACAGAAGCTGCATTCTTGTGGCAGAATAGGAGTACTGCATAGGACACTTTTACATTTGAGGTATTGCAGCAAGAGCTGTTATACTTGGTTTGAAACCACCAAAGGAAAAATGGAAAAAAGAAATAGCCTGAACATGGACTTTAAAGTCAATCTATGAATTAAAGTCTGCTTTATGAGGCCAGAAAACGTGTAATTTAACATAGAACATTACTTTCTTGTGAGAAACACTGCTGCCGCTATTGACTTGCTTGCCTAAAATGCTAGTTGCTTGCTCATTATGCTGATCCACTAGATTCAATACACTGGGGGGAAATTCATCAAAACTGGAGCAAACAAAATCTGGAGCAGCTGCCTATGGCAATCAATCAGCTTCTCTCTTCAGTTTGTTCAATTCAACTTTGACAATAACACATGGAAGCTGATAGGTTGCCATGGGCAACTGCTCCAGGTTTCGCCTGTTCTAGTGTTGATAAATTCCGCTCACCAAGTCTCTGGCATTAAACAAGTTTGCAGATAAACACTTTTCACTGATGTTTCTGACGTTCTTAGTTCTAGTAATAACCCCCCTCCTCCCACTCCCCTCTTTTTTGAAGCATAATAGCCATCTTTGGCTGAAAAAAAGATATCTCAATTAATGATGAACAGATGATTCTTCCAGAACTTACCAGACTTGTGCTTCTTGTGCTTGGCTCTTTTTTTGTTAAGGAACAATTTGTTATGCATTTCAGTCTTAAAAGATTTGAATGTGTTCTGAAGATTTTCAAATCTACCCTGTGTATTTTCTGTCATAAGATCTTTCATTTTTTTCTTTTTCTTCTTCTTTTTTGCTTGCAACTTGCGAAGTTTCATCTTTTCACGGTTGAGTGCAGAATGATCTAAAATAATATCCATTGCCATTCGGTGGCAAAGAACTTCAGTGTTGTTGCTGTGGTTGCCATTCACGTGGACTTGAAATTTTTTAAGTGCATTTTCTTTTAGTGGGCTAGTGTCGGTCTTGAGAAGGGTAATATCTGAATATTTTTCTACATTTTCCAGAATCCTGATTTCTCCAGGACTCAGGGGTTCTCCGTAGCCCACTAGTTCTCCAGGGCTACTAGGCTTTTCTACGTTCTCTTTGCAAGAAGCATGCTTATTTATGTCACAAGGATTCTGGTCTTCATGCTGCCCGGCTGTCTTCACATCATGCTTTGTGCTACTTACACAACTGTCCATATAACCGTTTTCAGAACAATCATCATGTAGCTCCTCACTAGTCCTTGGGCTTGGAGATATTACTAGCTGAACAGATTTAAGCTGACCATTGTTCTTTTTCGGATATTTACATTTGGACCTAGTGAATCGTGCTCTTGGCATCCTTTTAATCTTAATCGGAGGGAGAGGAAACTCTGGGGCTTTCAAGGGTCTCTGTCTGTATATTCGTACATCTGCACCACAAAACTGTGGGAAGTGAATATAGGCATTTTCTTGAGCATCGTAACCTAAGATCACTTCTCTGCATTCATGGATTGGTTGTCCAAGTACTGCATCCTGAACTTCGTTCTGCGTTTCATACACAAAGTCGCAAAGACCTTTAAATAACCAGACCTTCTGATGAAATGTCAGTTCATGAAATGTTTTTTGTTCAAGAGGATTCACTTCCCCAAGGACCTTAAAGAACTGAGAACACAATCCAAGCTTCTCAGCACATTTCTCAGGGTGCTCTGCCTGTCCTATAACCGTGTACCATTGCTGAACCTTCTGCTTAAGTGCCGCTTCCCAAGCTCGGTATGGGAGATTGGGTCTACGGTGTAAAGTTGGTCTGCGGTGCGGTGGGCTTAGTAAAGAAGTCATTATTTTTGACAAAAATACATTGCACTGAGGCATTAATAAACATCTTTCTAGTTCATAAAATACTATTTCAGGAAGGTTTAATATTTGTTGTGCTAAACAAAGGAAATGGCCTATGGCTGGTATTTCCCACATGGTCTCCATGCATGAAGGTGCAGCAAGAGCCAGGAAGTTTTTGTCCCATTCTTCCATTTCTTTTTGGCTAGCTTCCTCTGCTTCCTTGCGCTCTTGTTCCTTAAGTCTGCTTAGACAAAAAAGACAAAAATACATGTCTGTGTATCATTTTGCTTTTTTATACAAAATTATAAGTAGTCCGTATTTAAATGCACTTTAATTTGAAAGCAAACCATAGGTTGGTAATGTACAGCTGTACCTTTGTATATGTATGGGCTCACCTCCCTTAATTATACCTAAAATCAGACCTGAGATGCAGCTTACTCCCACTTTATATTGCCCGGCTTGAGTCAGCCAGTGTTCGCATTCAATTTTCCTCCAGGTGCCTGTGCTCCAGCATGCAGGCACGACTACAAGATGAATGGGAGAGGCTAACTTGGGAGAGGCTAACTTGGCTCTCTTATTTCTTTCTATGGAGCCTATAGGCACACCTGGATGGGTCAGGCTGGGAACACACACTCACAATTTGTTAATAAAATGGAACAGCCTGCCATTTTAAAGAATGGGATACTTGCTATGTATTTTTAGATAATGTTGTAGTGCTTGGTAGCTGCATTTATTTGTTCTCGATGACATTGCTCTTTGTTAATGGAAAGGGATATTTTTATGGTTGTTCTGGAAACATTACAAAATATTTCCAATAATATCTGATTAAAAAAGGGGGGGGAAAAAGGGGAGAGAGACCTATTCTTTAACCACTTGAAGACCAGGGTGCTAAACCCCCTTCCTGGCCAGGCCATTTTTCAGTATTCAGCGCTGCGTTACTTTGACTGACATTTATTCTGTCATGCAACGCTGTACTGAAATGAATTTTATACCATATTTTGGGGACAGATAGAGCTTTCTTTTGGTGGTATTTAATCACCACTGGGGGTTTTATTTCTTACTATATAACAAAAAAAGTACCCTAAAGTTTGTAAAAAAAAACTGTTTCCCTATAAATTATGAAACATTTATTATCACCCCAATTTTTTTGGTAAAATATAAAAGACGGGGTCACGTCGGGTAAATAGACACCAAAATTTTGTGCGCCCTCGAAATCGCAGAAAACGACCACACCCAAAATTGGCCATAGGCAACGCTCTAAAAGCTTTTACCGCTCATCAGTTTAGTGTTATCAGTAATTAATGACTTAATGGCCCTAAACTTATTGCTCTCATTCTGACGTTCGCGGCGATATGTAACAAGTGCGGCACAATAGGCGGAATCTGCGTTTTTGCAGGTTGGCGCACTCAGGACATTTTTGCGTGTATATGTGGGGGGCAGGGGACTTTAAAAAAAAAATGTGTTATTTTGAAAAAAAAATTATTTGGAGACTATTTTTTTTTCTTTATTTTTTTATGCTTTAATATTTTATTTTTTTTACACATAACTTTATTGCTATCACACAGGGGACTAAGAAATCCCCTATGTGATAGCCAATTCATATAACAGGTCCTCTTTATGGAGACATCAGGGGTCTCTAAGACCCCTGGTGTCACCTAGGGTCTAGATCTGTCACCTAGATCTGCTTCAGCAGCTTCTCACATGCATCTGTAACCGATAGTGACACTGATTGCAGGAAGTGATGTAATATACATCACTTCCTGCATTCAGGGACCGGAGAGGAAAACAAAAGTGGGATTGTGTATTGATCTCCCTTTGATCTCCTCTGACAGCGTCGCCGTGCCGGTCCCAGCGGTTCTCAGCGGGACCGGCAACGGAGACGACAAGGGGGGGACAGGTGGGATGGGGTGGCGCACACCCGCAGCTACCACGAGCGGTCCGGCGTCTCTAGAGACGCCCGATTGCTTGAATGTAAACAGCCATCGCTGGCTGTTTACATTTCTGACAGTTCCCCACTCGTGTGCGCACGAGCGGGGGGAGGGGCAGGACGTCTTAAGATCCCCTCCCGGTCCTATAAGGCTCCCGTCCGGCCGTTCAAAAAACGGCCATGGACCGGAGGTGGTTAAAACAGTGGGCTTCAGGAAAGTTGAAGTGGAACTGCAAAAAAAAATTCTCAGGATTTCTACCATATCTCAAATATACAGTTGTGCTCAAAAGTTTGCATACCCCGGCAGAAATTGTTACATTTTGGCATTGATATTGAAAAAATTACTGGTCTTCCCAAAAACCTGTGTTTTATTTAAGGATAGTGATCATATCAAGCCATTTATTATCACATAGTTGTTTGGCTCCTTTTTAAATCATAATGATAACAGAAATCACCCAAATGGCCCTGATCAAAGGTTTACGTACCCTGGTATGTTTGACCTTGTTACAGACACACAAAGGTTAAAATGGTAATGAAAGGTTAATTTCCCACATCTCTAACTTTTTAAATTGCAGTTAGTGTCTGTGTAATAGCCCTCATGCACACGAGAAAAGGGCGGCTCCTACTGATCCGTGCAAGTTCGTATCGGGCCGCTCCCGGGAAGACAGGTGCTGCATGTGATTTGTACGCAGCAGCCTGTTCTTCTCTATGGGAGTACGCCGCCCTACGCTCATCCAAACTGCACGTCCGTGCGGATGTCCATACTGGTACGCTGACAGGATGGATTCTGTCTGCTTCAGAGCAGGGACACCCGCACCTGTACGGACGGGCAGGTCGGGTGAGTGTAGGGTGGCGTACAGGCCCCAAACTCCCACAGAGAAGGACAGGCTGCTGCGTGTAATCACACGCAGCACCTGTCCTTCCCGGGAGCGGCCCGATACGGCTGAGATATCCAAAGTCTTGAAAATGAATGCCAGTGAGTCCTGTTCAACCACTTAAGAAGTGGAAGATTCTGGGATCTCGATACCAAGCCTCACTAAACCAAAAAGGGGAATACCCTCTTCCAACAGGTGTTCCCGCTTAAAGACCCCCCCCCCCCCTTTCTCTCCCTTTAGGCCTCATTCACACTACCGCACAAATACGCGCATATGCAAATAAATGGCTCCATACACATAGCTGCACATGGAGCCATATATTTGCGTAGTGTAAAAATGCGCAAACACAAAATGGAACCGAGATGCGTCCGGGCAGCTTATTTCACGCACATACACGCGTGTACGCTCATAAAGTTCATTAAAATTTCTATTACGAATAATGCATTCTGGGATTGCATATAGACACGTACGCTCATAAAGTTCATTAAAATTTCTATTACGAATGATGCATTCTGGGATTGCATATAGTGCACGCATATACGCACATGTACGTCTATATACGCAATATTATATATATTATATAATATATATGCAAAATAAGGATTTTCCATCACTTTTTGTCCTAGTGACAGTGGTCACCATTTGGAACACCGCAATAAAAAACTGATAGAGGTTTGTTACTGCTCAAAGAATTTACAGCAGTCTAAAAATGCATTCATCTTTCTTTCTCCCCATAAGTCCCCATTATCTTTGTACCTCCAACTTCCTGGACTAATATTTCATGATATACAACCCAAGGGCCTGGGCAGTAACCTTTAGATCTTTGGCTGTGTTTATACAGGTTGCTTCATACAGGTCAGCCCCCGCTTGTGCCTTTCACTATGTGAGAGTCTAGTAAAATAATGTAGAATAGACTAAAATGATCACAGGGAATGATGAGACTGAGGATATGGTTTTTTCATTCCACTACAGCTGATGATATTTTCATGCAGCGTTCCAAACGGTCCTTATAGATTGTTCGTAGTCTTTTAAGATCTATCACCAGAACAAAGATAAACGATTGCTTTTCAATAAAAGGTTGTTTTTTTTTCAAGTGTATTTAAACCTTAACCTTATCTACCTTCTCTTATTTGCAACCTTTTGGACTTCCTGTTGTGAGCTAACAACACAGTCCTATTGCTGCATGGAACCTCTCTTCAGGACACCATCTGACTCTAAAATCTCATTTAGATTTACAAAAACCTGCAAGGCCCTTCTTATACAATTAACTCAATCTATACACGAGTTAGCCCTCGCACTACATAACTGTACAATGTGTAATGTGCGTCATCCAATTAAACAGATGATATACCTTTTTTCTTCTTTTGCTCTTAAAAACTCAGCTTGCTTTAGGACCTGCACCATTACAGATTCCATTGCTCCTGCGTTAGCATTGGCCAAACTTCGTGCGGACGATCTCCGTCTTGTTAAAGTGTACGCTGATTCTTTATCTTCCTCCACTCCACAGAGACTTTTTGAGGATGCGGTTGACAATGTTCTATCTCTGAGGCTCCTTAAAGATTGAAATATAAACATTCAGCATTTTACAGGAAAAAAACAACTTCGGAAGACATCAGTATTTCTCCTGCTTGTATTTCCAGAATGGACTCTAAGAAGCAATACACACTTAAAAACACTTCTGTAAACAAATACAGAAAAATGGTAAGTATGGTGATAAAACCTAAAAGACTACTTGTGAGAAATTGTGACATTTATTATATTCTGGTAAGCACATGTGGATAAGATATGCAATGATAGTATCCAGTTCTTTATTATTTCACATGCAGAGCAATCTGCCCAGCAAAAGTCACAGCTAGGAGATGGGAAAATCTATGCCAGAAAAGCATGATCCTGCAACAGTTTTTTTTTTTTAAACCATGGGAATAAAAGGTGACGGCTGCTACAAGTTATAATACAAGGGCTGCTTACTACAGTCATCATTTCTTCTTATGCTATGAATCCAAATAGATTTAAAAAAAAAAACTGTTGCAGGAGAATTGCTCAAACACTCCTGCCATAGAATGCAGCAGTCACTTTTACTGGTTAGCTTGGTCTGAATGTAAGTGTGAAGAAAACCAAATATGAAAGGCAAGTGAACTTTCATATGCAAAGTCATTCATAAACAGCTACAGTTGGGCAAAAAAGTATTTAGTCAGCCACCAATTGTGCAAGTTCTCCCACTTAAAAAGATGAGAGAGGCCTGTAATTGGCATCATAGGTAGGCCTCAACTATGAGAGACAAAATGAGAAAACAAATCCAGACAAATCACATTGGCTGATTTGGAACAAATTTATTTGCAAATTATGGTGGAAAATAAGTATTTGGTCAATATCAAAAGGTCATCTCAATACTTTGTTATATATCCTTTGTTGGCAATGACAGAGGTCAAACGTGTCCTGTACGTCTTCACAAGGTTGGCACACACTGTTGCTGGTATGTTGGCCCATTCCTCCATGCAGATCTCCTCTAGAGCAGTGATGTTTTGGGGCTGTAACAATTGGTGGCTGACTAAATACTTTATTGCCCCACTGTACATTCGGCTGCCAGGTTAACATCCTTGATTTATGCATATTTGGTTCATACTCGTCATTGCTATGAGACCAAGTGTGATACTACACTTTATTTTTGGACTACACTAACCATTTTGATCAATCTTTCCTCTCAGAAAAGTAAAACCCTGCACACATTCGATCTCCTCACTATCAATTGCTATTTTGACCTATCCACTCCTTGGAGTGGTCATGATCTTGGTCTGTTTGATGTTCAAGAGAAGAAACTTCTCGATTTCTGCTTTGATCTTTGAGAGGAGGGTCATGTCATCAGTGAATTGAAGATTATTGATGTTCCTTCCTCCAATCTTTACTTCCAGTTTTTTGGAAGCATTAACCCCTTTGTGACTGACGACGTACAGTGTACGCCGCCAGCATCGGGGCTGTTTAAACAGACAGCTGTTGCCAGATCGCTTCTAGAGTCCCGTGAAGCGCCCCCCCCCCCCCCCCCCACCCCCCCCCCCCCGCTCCCCTGTCA